ATATGTTGTGTCTGAGCATTTCATTTATATCACTGGGGAGTTCTAGCAGTGCATCCAAGATCTTAGCCCAATGGCAAGATCAATTTCTGGATACAATGGTGGCATTGAGTCTTGTCTTTCCAATGTAAGGTGTATCCCCTACTTGTTCCAACAACCGACCCTGCCAAGGAAGATGGATCACAGACGGCCCATTACCTTCAGCTGTTTCATGACATCACAGAGTGAATCAAACTGACATCTGTGATGCAGGAGACCTAAAGAGGACGAATTACGATAAGAAATGGATTTGTCTACTCATGTTTCTGGTTGAAGATGACTGCAGAGTTTAGATTTGATCCATTAGTTTTGTGATTGCTTACTCCTATCTATTGCATTATCTGCTGTCTAGCATGCAACTTGTCTTGTAACTCTGCTACGGTAACACCTGATTTTTAGGTATGCCTGGTGCTGCTCCTTGATACCTTCCTGCATGCTTCATTAAACTAGGTTTGATCTCTTCAAAAAATGTCTTCTGTGTTCTTTTTTTAATTATGGACTGATTTAAGAAAGATCTGTTTCAAAACCAGTGTTTTTCTAGGATTGCTACATGTTTTGAAAAGCAGGTGTGGTGAGCATCATTTAAACAGCTGCTTAATCAAACAGTAATTGAAGTTTGCAGATGAACTGGCACTGAGGGGGCTCTGTATTCAGATGGAGCTTTGGTTGGCGACAAGAATTTGATTAGTCAATTATCAATGACAAAAGCCTTTCACCTGCCAACAACTATATGGGTGGTTCTCAAGTAATTGAAGAGGTTAAGGCTAGGAATAAGATATCTAGATATCTTCCACCTGTTTTCTGTTTTCTGCAGTAAGCCACGCTGAACCTGAAGAAAACTAGTTTATCATTCCTACAGCAGTTGCTGCAAGTTATCACTCTTCATTGACAAGTGAAGCAGCCATACTGTGCTCTTTGTAAACCAGTGGAAGTATTTGGAAAAGGATGAGAAGAAGTATTCTGATCAGCTAAAGAACAAAACCTCAAAAAATCTAGTAAACAAAGACAATTGAAGTGCTTTCCTATTTTACCTCAATGTACTTTTCGTTCCCCTGCATCTGTCTGTGTGCACATAAAGCAGAGTCTTAAGAAGCTTTAATTAGTAATGTTATTTGCTGATGGTTTATAAGGGCTTACATGTAGCTAGGTTCGAATGACTTGTTAAAAAAAACACTAATACTTGTTAAGTACAGAAACCTGCTTTGAATTTTCTAACAACCAGAGTTTGAAAATCAGTTAAATTGGGGAATTTTGCATGCTTTGGAATCATTAACTTTTGTGACAACTCAAGAAACTGCAGCGCACTACCTCAGTGAGTCATGTCATCGCTCAGTTCAATGGTAATGTTCCACTGGGGGTTAAAAAGCCATAATGTTACAGATTGAAAAAAAGAGTAGATGCTGAAAGTTGGAAACAAAACCAGAAATTACTAGGAAAACTCAGTAGGTCTGGCAGTGTTCCGAAGAAGGGTCACTAGACCTGAAATGTTAACTCTGCTTTCTCTCCACAGATGCTGCCGGACCTGCTGAGGTTACAAATTGTGTTGGGTGTACAATTCTGCTGCTGCTGTTGATTGCCCATGGTGGCTCATTCATGCTCAGTTTTGAGCTGCTAGATCTATTCAAAGTCTGTCCCAGTTAGCACAGGGATAGTGCCAAAAACACACACACTAAAAAAACCAGTGAATGCTGGTGAGGACGAAGTCAAGATTTTCTCCTTCTTGTTGGTATTTCATTATCTGTTACAGACCCAGTTTTAGTAGCTACATTCTTTAGGAGTTGGTCAGCAATGGTTTCACCAAGTTACTCTCGTGAAGGACATCGATAGTACATTCTGTGCCTTTCCCACCCTCAGTACATCCTCGAAGTGGGTTCAGCAATGGGGGCTGGAAGGTTGCAATCAGCAGTTGATTAGCTGTAAGGTATGATTCTGTGAGAATGAGGCATTAGGCTGCTTGACTACAGTGTGGGATGGCTCTCTCAGATGTTGGGAAGGAGTACTTTGCAAAGGTGACCCATCTGTATTTGCTGTTGTCCTTTGTGTTGCCAGGAAGGATGCTGGGTGGACTGCACAACTTCATTCCTTTGTAGCTGCTTGATACAACCGAGTGTCTTGCTAGACCATTTCTGACAGCAGTTAAGAACCAATCACATTGCTTTGGGTCTGGAATCGCATGTAGATGTGACAAGCTAAAAATGGCAGATGTCCTTCCCTAAAGGACATTAATGAAACAGTTGTCAGTTTTTATAATACAATCAAATGAAAGCAAAACACTATGAAGTTTGAAGATCTGAAATTAAAACAAACTGCTAGAGACTTAGCAAGTCTGGCAGCATCTGTAGAGACATACATGAGTTAATGTTTCAAGGCCAATATGGTTTTTCTTTGGAATTCACAAGTTTCTCGGTCACTTCCTGTTTTAAATAATGGGCCATACTTGTTTGGTTAGTAAGCAGAAACATTTCTGCACATCTTTCCTCCAACATTTTTACAAAACAAATAGCTTGAAATTTGAGTACCTAATAGTTGAAATAGCACTGATTATTATTGATTTTAACTTGTGAAAACTTTGGAAATGAAACGACACCTCCAAGAACCAATAATAAAAAAATAAATGTTTGCAGACCTCTCATGGAAAGTTTCACACCCAGTATGCCATTTCAATGCTGACATTTTTGTGCTTCACTGCTGACAGACACTGCATACAGGACAAAATAACTCACATAGGCCAACAGCAGGCAGGTGGGACGAGTTTAGTTGGGAATTATGTTCAGCATGAACTAGTTGGACTGAAGGGTCTGTTTCCGTGCTGTACAACTGTATGACAATGACTATATTAATTCAAAATCACAGCAAAGGATTCTCTTTACCGTGCAAAAGCCCAGATACTCCACAACAGTAATGCTAAACTCAACTGCAGTTCTGCCGCAGCCCAGAACACCCCAGTACTGTAAAATCTGAAAATTATTTTCCTGCAGTTAAAATACCTCTCTTCCTTTCAGTACAGCTAAATACTAAAACGCCAAACATTTCAGCCAAGGGAGGGCAGAATAAAAGGGAATGTTAGAAATCACAGTGAAAAGGAATAGTGTATCTTGTGCTAGCAATTTTCTATCCTTACACAATAGAAAGAGATAGGACAAAAAAAAGGGTAAATTCCTCACCGTAACCAATTTCTTCCCAAACCCACTTGTCCAAATGAGCAATCCTACCAGTTCTAATTTCACTGCAACCAACTCTCAATTGCACAAAGCATATCTATCAATCATTAACAAGGTGCAACCATTAAATGGAGTCACTCTCCCTGTCTCCCAAAAATTCAATCATAAGTGACTTACCATGTCCCTTCCCTTTAAACACTACCTTTTCAATTTTTCTCACCTCCCAATGGACGCATGTGCTGAAAGTATCACAAAGATCACAGGTGCCCAAACCCACTGTATCAATTCTATTCCCTGAAACTGCTATGGGAATACCTGGCTGCATCTAGGTGGCTGCAAGGCCTGTCCTGCTACACTTCCAGCAGCACAGTGAGGCTCAAGGAATCTTGAATTCCCTCAGATATCCAACTACATTTTGCGTGCTCCCCACTAAACATTTTCAGCTGAAAACTGGTAGCAATCAATTAATATGAAGTACATAAATTACATTGGATATGAGAACTTCCACAGAATTAGAGGCTGTGCAATCCAATCCCAAATCACCAGCATGCTATGAATTAGTAATTGTAATTGATTTATTCAACACATTACACATTAGTGGCTCTCATATTATCCCTGACAAAATAATTCCAGAAATTCACAATTCTGGCCACTGACCCAAATGTAGTAGAGTAGAGCATTCAGATGCAGCTAAGTTCTAAATTATAATGGCAAGGGTTATTTAAAATTCTAGCTTTCATCATGTAACTGTTTTGGTATCTCTAACCTCAGGAATATCAGAATGTGTATCCTTCAATTCATACAAGCAACATTAGGATAAGCAGTAATTTTGTGGTAAAGTCACTGGACTAGCAATCCAGAGGCTAATGCTCTGTGGACATTCCACCATGTTAATTTAACTACTAAATCTGAAACAGAAAAAAGTCTTAGTAAAGTGCGACCTCAAAAATTATCATTGATCATCATAAAGAACAGATTTGGTTCAGTGATGTTCTTTACGGAAGGAAATCTGTCATCTTTACCTGGTCTGGCCAAGTGGTTCCAGACCCACAGCAATGTAGTTGACTCTTAACTGCTCTCTGAAAGGGCATAGCAAGCCACTCAGTTCAAGGATAATTAGGGATCGGAAACAAAGTTAGCCTTCCTAGAATCCTATGAAAGAAAAAAAATATGGGTGATCTCTAAAACTAAATAAAAAATCGTACGCAATTTTTTAAAAAAATCAACAAGGTCAGCTATGCAATGACATACCTTCTGGCCCAGAGGTAGGAACACTACCGCTGCTCTGGAAGACCCCTTTACATGCAATCTTGAAAACCTTTTATATGTTGTAATAGTTTTGGCATACCTGCATCATCTCTTCCCATTACATTTATTCACACTAAAATCTTGATTCTGCCATACTGTTCCACCTTGAAAATCTTTCATTTGAGGGTTATATGGTCTTGAATGTTCATTTGCAAGTCAGAAAAATAGCCTGAATAAAAGTACACAACTGGAAATCGGTTATTTGCCAAAATGTAGTACTCCCCTTCAAAATAATCATGTATTGCTTTTACAATGTGCTTGATTGAATCTGAGCAACTGTCAGAGATAATTCAGTAATGTTAATTCCACTAACCTGGAAATGAGATTCATTTACTAGGCTACTCAAGTATTGTACGTGCTCTTTTTCTAAAAGAATGACATTGGAATCAATTTCTGCCTCAATCAGCTAACTTCTAATTTGAAATAAGCCTAAAAATGTCTTTAGCTCACCAATACTATTTGTACATTGAGTGCCACATATGGAAATATGTTATTCAGAATTCCATTTATACCTTTCCTTTCGCAGATAGCCTCCAATACCATAATCACATCCATGTCCAGGGAAAAATTAATTCATGAATTTCCATCGAATCTGGAAATCTTGTAGATGACAGTGCACTAAGCTTGAACTATAATCTATCATTACTCAAAAAATAAGCTTATGACATTTATCTGTGCAGTACTGTGTTACCCTATGGCATTCTAAATGCATGCTCATCAAAATTCCGTACAGTACTCTGCAACTGTCAATGCTAATTTTGTTTCCTCATTACAGATCACTTATTTTGGCTTTCACTGGCCCATTAATTAAAATTCACTCATTTGAAACACACTTTCTGGGATTTCCATCTTCAACGGTGAAGTGCGCACGCATGTCAAGCCAACAGAGTACCCTTGTTACTGAAAATTTTAAAAGCAAACCAAAACACATTTTTCTACAAATAGTAGCTTTTGAAGTTTTTTTCCTGAATTTACAGTTTTACATATGAAAGTTACATATTTCTATGAAAAAGTATACCATCTTAACTACATCTTATCAACACAAACATATAGCCTTTGCAATACATAATTGTCCTTGCAACTCAAATACAACAGTAGAGGCGATTTGAAAGGTCTGGTAGAAAAGCAATACAATATTCCAGCTATTCGCAATTGGAATGAAGACATAACATCTATGCAACAATGCTGACATATACTGAAGTAGACTATTTACATGACAGATGCACTCTGTCGTTCAACATAACCCTTTGAGAATAAGGAAGCATTGCTATATTAAATAAGCAACTACTACATAGTCAGGTCTACATTTATTGTGTGAATATTTGAAATTGATATGTTACAGTTGCATACATCCACCTACAATTTTGTTCAGGATTGGAAATTTACAGAAAACATGTATAACAAAAAAAAAAGGGTTATTCAGAAGTGCTATCCAATACTCAAAGGATTATGTTTTATGTGAATTTTGAAGTTAATTTAAATGAAGTAACATTCAATTGAATTTTTTGTTTGTGAATTACCTTACAATCGCAAGATTAGGTATTATTTGAAATTCAATTGTATTCTTATATCAAACAGATGCTACTTGCACTGCTCGTGAGGATGGACATGCAACCTGAGGAATAAATATTCAGATGGGAGAAGCGGAACCAAATCAAGAACAAGTTCACTGCTATACTGCAGTATGCATTCTACAGCATAAAGTCAAGAGTTTCAAGCTTTGTAATTTGCAGAAAGGAAGCTTTGTTTTTATTACAAATCATTAAATCTAATGGAATACTGGCAATATCAAATGTTTATTATACAAGCAAACCGTAACCACAGACTTATGCCTTTGGAAATGGTGAAGGGTCAATACCTTTTTTTAAGTTACGTAAGTAATTTCTTGTTAATAGGTACATTACAAATTTCAAACCAAATTTGCACATCATAAACACTTCTTTTTCAATTCAGTATTTATTAAAACAATAGACAAAATAAATCTGGGTTTAGAGAATAAATCTCACTGGTGGTGGGTAGTCACTCGCTTTCTTTCTGGAGTATGAAATATTCATAACTCAAAAGATACACTTTTTAACTTTTAACTCAAAGTTGACAGCAAACACAAATGAAAAATAAAACACTGGAACTCACCAACATTAGTGAGATTCTCTTTATTCTGTGGTGGGGGTGGGGGGGTTGAGGCTCCTGTTTAAATTCACCATCTGCAGCATTATGGGCTATTTAATTCTAGTCCCATGAAATATTTTTTTCAAATACAGAAATGTTTCCCAAGGGACTGGCTTAGAATATTAATGTAACACTTGTTACTATGTTTTGACATATTTCCAATGGTTATGATAAATGGTATGATCTTGGCATTTAAATATTTTAATGAAACAACTTCACACTGCCTTTTTGATCCATTAGGTGGTGCTGTATATGAAGTTCTTAGCTTAGTTGATCAATTCTAAAATGTAAGATCAACACGCAATCATGCAAATATTTAAATAATTTTTTCAGTTTGATGCACTATATTTTTTTAAAAATTAATAGAATGTGATTTGACTCTAATTTTTAGGAACCCTCAATTTTTAATTCTCTCACAAAATATTAATTAAAAAAAAATGAATGCTCAGTCCATGTCTACCTAAAATTTTAATCACTACGAAATGGGGATTTAATTTCAAGCACAACTATTACTTGCGAGGATGTGTTGGTCAAAACTCATTGCCCAAATAATGTTTTGGGTTTATTCTTGAGTACTAAATTGGTTACTCCATTTATTCATTTAAAAAAATATGACTGATGGAAGGGTTCTTGCCTAAAATTAAATACACATCTATTAATTTTATTTAAGCACTTTAACCAAATGAACAGTGATATTGGTGGCATCTTTGGTTTTCATATACAGCATAAAATTTATTTTTTTAAAAAGACCTCACAATAAAACAATAAGCTCAACCAGAAAAAAAAGGTTCAACTTTAAATGTAGTGCACATTTTACAATCTTGTTCCCCTTACTGCACAGACTAAAAGAGCTCTCCCAAGAAAAACAGCAGCATCATGTCATGTAAACAGTTCACAATAAAACAATATTAACATCCCAATATGAATACATTTGCATTGTGTTCATACATTGTTATAAGCATCTCACAGTCTCTCATTTACTGTATGTCCATTCCAGGAATTATTATATGGTAAAATTTGTCCTTGTAATCATCCATTCAATAACCAAAGGATGGTCCCAGAATAGGAATGGTTATTTGATCATCTTTCGGGATTCAAAGATTAAAGGATAGGTTTGCTCCACTGCAGTCGCAACACACTGTATACTGGGTGCTAAGATAGAGACAGAAAAAAAAAATACACCAATTACAAATCACACTTAATTGGTTTATTCTACAGTATGAAATTAACAATTTGAAATGAAACTCTTAAATCTATTAATTTAGTTTCGCTAATTTTCGACACATTGTAGAACTTTCCTCAATTTGAACCCGTTATAAGCTTAGGTTTTACTACTCACTCCCTTGTAGTCATTCCCAAAGGTGGCGACAGAGTGTCTTAGATACAAGGACATTTAAATACTGTACAATGCAGTATGCAAATATGCAATAATGAAACTCAAGTGTGCAACAAAACTTGACCATCACATCTTTCATACATGCTCTTACTTATAGCTCTGCAATAAGGCAATTGGCTGGAGATGACAGATATTATTTCTTGAGTTGCTAGATTTAATAAGTGAACATGAGATGGGGACAATGGTTTTCGGAAATATTTTGTTTAATCAATAAAACTTATTTTTTTTAAATAAGACAAAATATCAATTCTGCTACATTTTTCCATATCTATGTGAATAGTGAAACAAAAACCTAACCTTTTAACATTTTTTTTGGTTTGAATCAGATGGCGGTGTGGACCTGATTCCAAAACTATAGGGCAATAGAGTTAACTACACAAGGATCAACTGGAAGACAGTGTGAATGGACAGAGGGCATATTTCTTGAACTACATCTAAAAGAACATTTTTCAACCAGCATTTAACAAGCTTGATGAGAGAGGATGCAATTCTAGATTTAGTCTCAGGAAATGAAGCTGGGCAGGTGGACGAAGTGACAGTGAGTTTTTAGGAGATAGCTATCATAATACAGCTAGATTTAGCATCATTGTGAAAAAGACAAAAGATAAAACAGCAGTAAAAGTGTAAAGTTCACCTTCATCAAATTAGAAAAGTTGATAGATGATCTGGCAAAAATGGACTGATTACAGTCACTTGAACAAAAGTCAATGGTAAAACAGTGGCAGGCATTAAAAAGTGAAATTCTGAGGCATAGTGTAGACATGTCTCCACCAAGATAAAGGATGGTACTGCCAAATCTAGAGTCCCCTGGCAAGATTAGGCAGGAAAATTGAGCTTATGACAACCTCAGAAAAGTAACACTTTGGGAAACTTAGAGGAACATGGAAAGTATAGGATTAATGTGGAAAAGGAAATTAGGGAAGCAAAGAGAAGACATGGGAAAATACTGGCCTGTAAATTTAAAGGAAATTCCAAAGGTGTTTTATCAGCAGCTTATTAAGAGCAAGATGATGATCAAGAAACAAAACAAATACAGAAACTTCTGGAAAAGCTCAGCAGATCCGACAACACCTGTGGAGAAAAATCAGAGTTAACGTTTCGGGTCAAGTGGCTCTTCCTCAGAACCAACTGAGAACGTTCACTGGACCTGAAATGTTAACTCTGATTTCTCTCCACAGATACTGCCAGACCTGCTGAGCTTTCCTAGAAATTTCTGGTTTTACTTCTGATTTATAGCATCTGCAGTTCTTTCAGTTTTGATCAAGAAAGAATTGTGGATTAGGAGGCAGGAGGTTAGAATTTGGTGTTTGTAAAATGCCGGGGTTGTTCTTGCAGTATGGGTGGGGGGGGGGGGGTGCAATAGCGTGATCCCTTTAAAAGATCATGTGCATTTTCTGCGCTTAGAGATATAAAATGGATGCCTCCAAGTAGCAGTTTGAAAGTTTGTAAGCACAGAGAGTGCCCGAATTGAAACATCTGTACCAAAAGGCCATACAGTTAGCAGGCCAAGCAGCAGTTTTAACCAAGACAAGAAGGTTTTGAACTTAGCCAATCAATTTGAACCAGGTACTTTGATACCAAAAACCAATTAAAATTAAATCTGAAGGTTTTGACAACACAGGACCCATCCTATTGTAAGAAATATTGATATGTCATCAAGAGTATAAAAGAAGGGAGCAGTTGGACAAAGCTCCAGATCTAATTGCCATCTACCAGACCTCGGCAGCTCTCAGCTCTCAAGAGAGACTCACTGGCTCTCCAAGTTTCCTCTATGTCTTAGAGAAAGTACCAACAAAATAATAACGGTACCAACAGCACAACGAGTTAATATCCCTAACAGAAAAATTAATCGGAGAAGGCACAGAACATTCCAGAAGACACGTAACCTGGCTGTAATTTCGACAGACTAAATCCTTTTTTTCAAATATATAAGTGAGACTTGTATATATTGGAATAGCACACCATTAGAATCTAGCTCTATTTGGGAATAGTTAGTAATTAGAAGGGATGTATTCGGTTTGATAATAGTTTAGTTAATTTGTCCACTGTTAGATAAATAAATTATTACTTGTTGATTTTAAACTGAGTGTCAGGGATTTATTTTATTTAACCACTAGAAGTTGCTGAAAGGCAAGTTACACCACTTTTCACACATTTTACTGATTATGGGGCAATATGCTCCTCTTTAGGTGTTTCGGTTTTAGTTCTGAGAGGGGCTTCAACCTCTGCTTTATAACAGTAAGCTGTGTGTGGATGCAGAAGATGCGAACAAGGTTCTAAATGAGGATGTTTTTCTCTGTCCTCAGAAAGGGCAGAAATGCAGCATACATCCAAATTAAAGAGTAACATAAAGTATTAGATAAAATAAGCATGATGAGAAGGGAAGTAATGGAGGCACTGACACATTCACAGTTGGATAAATCACCAGGCCCATTTGAATTGCATCCTAGACTGTTAAGGGAAGTCAGCGAGGAATATTTTCAAATCTTCCATAGATATATTTGAGTTACCCAGGGATTGGAGGTCTGCAAACACTGTGGGGAGTGTGTGTGATTGTGTGATCGTTACAGTGCGTGTGATCGTGAGAAACAATAGGCCAATTAATTATAGGCTGGTCAGTGGGCAAATTACTGGAATCAACCCAGAGACAGGATTAACTATCACCTGGCGAGGCATGGGTTAATCAACATAGTTAACATGATTTTGTAAAGTCATGTCTTACAAATAATTTAAATTTATGAGGAAGTGACAAGAAGGATTGATGAAGGTAGTGCAATGGCTATTGCTTAATTGGCATTTGACACGGTCCCACGTGACATACTGTAAAAATAAAAAAAGAAAGCCCAAGAGATACAGGGGAGTGTGGTGAGTTGGATCCAAAATTGGTTCAGTTAAAGGTTGATATTTCTTTTTTGACTGGAAACTTATTGTCAGTGTTATTCCACAGGGCTCAATATTGGGTGTCTTGCTGTTTATTAACAATATAGACTTAAATGTGGGAGGCAAGTCTAGAAAATTTGCAGACAACATTAAAATTGCCTGGATAGTTGGCAGTGAGAAAGTTGCTGTCGAATGTTGAAGATGACTTAAGTATTAATAATTTAGTTGAGCAGGCAGAAAAGTGGCAAATGGAATACCACCTGAAAAAGTCCCACTTTTTGGGGAGGAATACACAACAAATGTTAGGGTATTAACAGAGGTAGAGATAGTGAGAGATCTGGGTTCCTGAAGAGGGCAGGACAGGTGGATAAGTTGGTAGAGAACATAAATGGGATTGTTTTCTCAATTGGTCAAAGTATTGAATACTAAAGCATGAATATAGTGCCAGAATTAAACAAGAGACACTGATTAAACCACAAGTGGAGTTGTGTGTGCAGTTCTAATCACCGCATTACAGGAAAAATGTAACTGCTTTACAGAGTGCAAAGGACATTGACAAGAATGTAGCCTGGGCTTTAAAAACTGCAGATATGGGGAAAGAACTCAGAGAATCACAGAATCCCTACTGTGTGCAAGCAGGCCATCAAGTCCACACCAATGCTCCAAAGTACATCCGACCCAGACTCGGCCCCCTACCCTATTACTGTAACACTGCATTTCCCATAGCTAATCCACCTAACCTGCACATCTTTAGACATGATAGAGTAGGGCTGCTTTCCTTAGAACAGAAGAAGCTGAGGGTGAATGGTGGAGCTGATTCGGGTTGGGGGTTGCGGGGGAGAGCGACAAAATTACCTACTCCTATCTCTTCTAGCCTTGTTCCAAAATCTCAAGTGGCAATTTTAATTTGATGCATGCCCCATGTATGCATTTTAATTTGCTCTCACAGTGAAATGATATCTGCACAGGTACTAACTTAAAAACAAATCTCTTGTGTATGGACCATATATGCAATTACAAAATGAAAACTAAGTAATGTTATTGTTAATTAACCTGATCTACTTTCTCCATTATTAAGATCCTGTTTTACAGCCAAGTATTTAAAATCTTTTCCCTGTTGAAAACCCATAACATCCTCCTCATTATGGAACCAACAAATCAATGCCATACCTCAAATGATGTGAAGGTGCCAGTGTTGGACTGGGGTAGACAAGGTCAGAAGTCATACAACACCACGTTATAGTCCAACAGGTTTATTTGAAATCACAAGCTTTCGGAGCACTGTTCCTATGTCAGGTGGAGTGAAGAGAAGCACACAGGCACGTAGTTTATAGGCAGATGGATCAAAAAATCATACAAATGGTGTGAGTGGAGTGTCAACAGGCTGAATAGCAAATGAAGGGATGATCTATAATCCAATTAACTGAGGCAGAGAGACAATTACAAAACATTAAAAATTAAAAATAAGGTGGCTCTAGAAATAAACCAAATGGCTAGAATAACATGATAGGTATGACAGTCACATGCTGAGGGTCTAACCAAAGTAACAAGCAATCCAAACTGTACAAACTAATTAAGGTGGAGAGATCATAACAAGTTATCAAGATGATAGTGTCAAGATTTCACAGATACAAAACAGTATGGTGGGGTTACATATAGTGCGACATGAACCCCAGATCACGGTAGAGGCCGTTTTCATGGGTACGGAACTTGGCTAGCAATTTCTGCATGGCAATTCTGCATTGTTGTATATCTCCAGGGCTGCCTTGGAGGATGCTTAGCCGAAAATCAGATGCTGAATGTCTTTGACCGCTGAAGTGTCCCCCGACTGGGAGGGAACATTCCTGTTTGGTGATTTTTGTGCAGTGTTCATTCATCCATTGCTGTAGTGTCTGCATGGTCTCGCCAATATACCATGCCTTGGGGCATCATTGCTTGCAGCATATGAGGTAGATGATATTGGCCGAGTCGCATGAGTATCTGTCGTGTACGTGGTGGGTGGTGTTCTCACGTGTGATGGTAGTATCCATGTCGATGATCTGGCATGTCATAGCAAGGTTGTGTGGTATTGTGTCCATGTTGTCCTGAAGACTGGGTAGTTGCTATGAACAATGGTCTGTTTAAGGTTGGGCGGTTGTTTGATGGTGAGAAGTGGAGGTGTACGGACGATCTTGGCGAAATGTTCGCCGTCATTGATGACATTTTGAAGGTTGTGAAGAAAATGGCGTAGTTTCTCTGCCCTGGGGAGAATTTTAACTTTTTTTTCGTAATTATCTCGCTGCCTCAATTAATTGGATTATAGGTCATCCCAGCACTGGTTATTCAGCTGTTGACACCCTACTGACACTTTGATCACCTGCGGAGACTCCACTAACACCATTTGTATTATTGTTTGATCTCTCTGCCTATAAATTATGTTGCTGCGTGCTTCTCTTCACTCCACCTGATGAAGGAGCTGCGCTCCAAAAGCTTGTGATTTCAAGTAAACCTGTTGGACTGTAACCTAGTGTCATGTGACTTCTGACTTCATACTTCAAATAAGTATTTGATCCCCTAAGGAAATAGTGTATTTTCAGCTGATATAAAATTATTATGACAAACCACAATATGCCATCCATAAGGGGTAAAAAGAAGCAAGTGTCCAATCCAAACTTTTGATTCCATTCTCATTTGTTGCAAAGATACTTTCAAGGAATTAAATACGAAGATCACAAGTTAAGAAAGTTGCCTATGCTGATGACCACTGACATTTAGGACTGAGAAAGACAGAAATTGAAGTATATTAACTGTGGGTCAAGAACAGGGGAACAGTAGAACATAACACAAATGAATTTATTAATAATTGTTTCCCAGCAGCTACATACATTTCCTCACTAGTACCCAGAACATCTGGTTGGCAGCATCAACTTGTTGATCAATTTCTATAATCAGTTAACATCATTTGACTGGCTGTTAAACATCATCTTCAGAAACAGTTATGAGTTTCTTTGACAACAGCAAATTTGTAATATTTTTCAAGCTAATATTTTAGGAATATCTCTGATCTGAAAAAGTAATTTGGCTAGTGTGAAAGAGCAACTACATTTCTGAAAATGTACATTAAACATTTTAACGGACAATGAACAGTACAGTACAGTGCAGATATGACAGACAGTATTCTTAATGTTAACAAGAAATCATGCACAGCACCATAATAATGATCTCTTGCGATCCAATGGAATTTCTTTAAAAAGGCAGCTACAAGCTCTTTCTCATATAAAATACTTATTTTTAGAAAGCTTATGAAATATAGAGAAATGTAAAAAAGAAGAAATTTGTGGCCACTATCATTGATTTTAAATTGAGGTCTACAAACATACCTGTTATTGTTATACTGCCGGTGGAAAAAATTTGAAGTGTGGCTTTTAACGCTTTAACTCTAAAAGATGCTGCAGGATGCAGTTCTGGCTCGTAGCTGCAAGAGAGAAAAAAAAAGTGGAATTTCAGTAACTAAGTAACATAATAAAAAAAGCACAACTACTTACAATGTAGTTTGAGATTATTTAAAAAAAAACACGAAGGAAAGAAAAGAATCGCTTCAATGAAATAAATCAAAATTCTGAACATACACAGCAGGTCTGTCAATATCTAAGGGGAAAAATTGTGAGCTTATATTTGGGATAGTGACTCCTTATCTATTCTGATCTTTTCCATTTGCACTAGCATCATAGTTATTGTCAATAACTTCCAAGTGCATACCTTGCAATTGGCCGATTTCTTTTTGTGAATTCTGGTAGCCTTATTTCAAATGGCATCGTGCATACAGCCAGGACATTGACAACTTTATAGCCAGCAAATTTTACCTTCAAAATATCAAAAAAAGTTATTTTAAAAACATGATCTAACACTGTTCTACAATGTAGTTAAATATCTGCCCAGTATTAGATTCATAGTTGACAGTCAAAATATTCAAATACGAAAATATTCAAACATCTGGCACATGTAATATTTAGACAATGCCTTCCTCTCTTTGGCACCAAAGTTATCATTCAAAACATGCTGATGGCATATACATCTTCCCTCTACTGGTTGTAATTATTTGATACGTATTTGTAGCAATCTAATTATTAATCTCTAGGGGGAAGGCAAATGGATAGCACAAAATTATCTTAAATTAAATAGTTGCAGAGCTGACAGGCTGTAGCAAATACTGCAAAGATCAATGTATGGGCCTAAGTCAATTACAATCCGTATTCACAAAGCGTTGTTTACAAGTGAGGGAAATTCAAAGTGGCTACAAAATGAATCCAATGGATGTGACCGGGCCAAAGACTTGCAAGATGGAACTATTATGTGGGAAAATGTGAAGTTGTCCATGATGGTGGGAAAAGTAGAATATTCTTAAATGATGACGGGAAAGTGTTCGTATTCACAAAGAGGATGCCCTTAAACGTGAATTACACAGAGTTAACAGGTAGATACAACAAGCAACTAGGAAAGCAAATGGTATTTTAGTCTCTATTGCAAAGTGATTAGAATAAAGGATTACATAAGCCTAACTGCAGTTACACAGTATTTCTATGGTCTCACTTAGGCCCTGCGTACAGTTTGCTTTTATTACTTGCCTTAGAGTAAGTGTACTAAATGCTCACCAAACTAATTTCGGAGATAAGTAGCAAACAAAAACGAAGTTGCTGGAAAAGCTCAGCAGGTCTGACAGCATCTCTGTGAAAAAATGATCAGAGCTAATGTTTTGGGTCTGGTGACCCTTCCTCAGAACACAGAACACAGTTCTGAGGAAGTGTCACTGGACCTGAAACGTTAACTCTGATTTTTCCTTCACAGATGCTGCCAAACCTGCTGAGCTTTTCCAGCAACTTCTGCTTTTGTTCCTGAATTCCAGCATCCACAGTTCTTTCGGTTTTGAGATAGGTAGATTGCCCTCTGAGGAAAGATGGAGTAAATTAGGCCTAATATATAATTGCCTCAAGTTTAGAAGAATGAAAGGTGATCTCATTGAAACATAGAAAATTCTTTAGTGGTTTGACAGGGTATGTAATAGGTGGGCGTTTCCCTGGCTAGAGAACCATTGCCTCAGAATAAGAGGTCAACCATTTCAGACTGAATTGAGGGGAAATTTCTTCAGAAGGTTGATAACCTCTTGAATTTAGGTCATCCCTCATTATTACGCTAATAGCACCTTTAATTAAAAGAGCCACCCTTCCATTCTTCCCTTTGTTTCCTGTCCTTTCTAAATGTCAGATACCTTTCAATATTCTGGTTCCAATCCAGGCTATCCTGCAGTCAAGGCTCAGTTATGGCCACTAGACTGTACTTATTTATCTCAATTTGTACAACTAGCTGATCACTATTTTTTGATTAGTTTGCGAGGCAGTAATGCCATCAGCATGGTTTCGTTCCCACAATGGCCGAGGCTACCATGGAGTACCCTCCTTTTCAGCCATTCATCTCCTGTTAAACCATCATCAGTTGTTGTCTCTCTCTCTCTCTCTCTCTGTCTCCATATAATGAGAACAGTCCTATAGTCTGTTAAGATTTTGGTGACTTTACCTTTACTGTAATTCATACTGAATTGCCACACTCCCAGAGAAATGGATCAGAATAAGCTAGAAAAATTGGCATTGCAATTTTTTTGGTCAGAAAATATTATCCATAATTAGAGGTAAAGGTAAAATAGATAATCAAACAGAAGCAGCTATTATCAATTTATTTCAAAATTTAAGGAATAATACAGAAAAGCCAAAACTAACCTACTTTAAGAAAGTGAAATGATATGTACTTAAGGGACTTCAGTTACTTTTTGTTCTATTATTATTTCAATTATATTGGCTGTTTTAGAATTCAGTTATACTGCTAATTTTGCAAAGCAGCTTCAGAAAAGCTATCTCACACCACTGTACTTAACAATGCATGAAACATAACTTAAGGTAGTGTAAGATTTGGTTCAGAAAACGCTCCATTTTAATTTCTCACACTGTAATCACACTGAGTTGTTTAGCATGTTTGGAATATGCAGACACTAAAGGGAACTCACTTGGTAGTAAATAAGACTTAAACTAAAACATTAAACAGACAATCCCTGACTCCTTCTGGCATGCTTACTTGGTAACCAAAGGACAAAGTATGACAACTTTACAGCATTCACATACTATGTTTGAATTACAGGTAGTTCTCCTATAACGCAATAGTTGCATTCTTGTGTGACCTTGCGCCATAGAAAATCACGTTATAGGGAGATCACTACAGAAAATCGCTATACCTGAAAATTTGTGTTATCCAAACAGTGTCCACTATTCATCAATCACGTCACAGCCAATTCGCGTTAACGAAACACGCATAATAGCATAACTACCTGAACATGGTCCACAGCAAGATGCTGTTCCAGAAAAATTCCTGAAGGAGCAGGGAACTTTGGCAATAATTTCCTGACTTCCAAGTTTATATGCACATGTGCAGAATCCAGAAATTTGTGTCTGATTTATTCCTCAGCCATAGCAATAGCTGACAGTTTCATTTTAACATTTAGTGCAAAGTTCAGATCATAAAACTATGCATACAACAGCTTCTTCTGGTTCTTAAGGGCTTTATTTGGAATCAGAAAGTGTAAGTGAGCTACTACCTTGCTGGTATTAATTTTATAACTCCTCGTTCTGCATGTTAGCGACAGTATGAAGACATTATTTGATTAGCACAAATTATAAATTATACAAGATATCGAGGAAGGCAAGGGAGGAGATTGCTGGGGCCTTGACAGAGATCTTTGCATTCTTTTTAGCCATACGCGAGATCTCAGAAGACTTAGAATAGCTGAGGTCATTCCTTCGTTTAAGGAGGGCAACAGGGATAATCTAGGAAATTATAGACAAGTGAGCCTTACATCAGTAAATTATTGGAAAATATTTTTAGGGACAGGATTTACTTGCATGTGGAAAGAATGGACTTACTAAGGATAGTCAGCATGGCTTTGTGTGGGGTAGTCTTGTTTCACAAATTTGAGTTTTCTGAGGAAGTAACAAAGATGAGGGTAGGGCAATGGATTTTGTCTACATGGACTTTGAAGCTTTTGATAATGTTCCCCATGGTATGCTGGTCCAGAAGGTTAAGTCGTATGGGATCCGTGCTGAGTTGCTAAGTTGAATACAAAATTTGGCCTAGTCATAGAAGATAGAGGATATTTTGGAGGGATATTTTTCTGACTAGAGGTCTGTGACAAGTGGTGTTCTGTAAGGATTAGTACTGGGATCTCTGTTGCTTGCAATACATATGAATGACCTGGGTGAAAACGTAGGTGGTCTGAATAGTAAGTTTACAGATGACACAAAAACTGGAGAATTTGTACCTAGTAAGGAAGGTTGTCAAAGGATCCAGCAGGACATCCTTGCTCGAAAGTTTGGCAGAGAAATGGCAGATGTCATTTAATCAGGGAAAGTGCGAGGTGATACATTTTGCAAGGTCAAATGCAAGACGAAAGTACACGGTAAATGACAGGACCCCTTTCATTGATATACAGAGGGATCTTGGGGTGCAAGTCCATTGAGCCCTGAAAGTGGCAACACAAATGGTTAAGATGGTAAAGAAGGCATCTGGCATAGATACCTTCATCAATCAGGCCACTGAGTGTAAAAATTGGTAAGTTATGTTGCAGCTCTATATAGCTTCAGTTAGGCCACATTTGGAATATTGTGTCCAGTTCTGATCATCACATTATAGGAAGGACGTGAGGCTTTGGAGAGTGCAAAGAGGTTTACCTGGATTTTGCCTGGTTTGGAATGTGTTAGCTGTAAGGAGAGGTGGGACAATATTGGATTGTTTTCACTAGAGCATCAGAGGCTGAGGGGTAACCTGATAAAAGTATATAAAATTTTGAGAGGCATGGATAGGATGGATAGTCAGACTGCTCTTCCCAGGGTGGAAACGTCAAATATTAGGAGGCAAAGGTTAAGGTGAGAAGGGGCAAGTTTAAAAGACATGTGCAAGGCAAGTTTTTTTTTTACACTGAGAGTGGTAGGTGCCTAGAACATGTTGCTAGGGGAGGTAGTAGAAGCAAATACAATAGCAACATTTGAGAGGCATTTGGACAGACACATGAACAGGCAGGGAATAGAGGGATCCAGACGACGTGTAGGAAGATGGGATTAGTTTAGAATGGCACCATGGTTGGCATGAACATAGTGGGTGAAGGGTCTGTTCCTGCGCTGTGTTGTTCTATGTTCTATTAGTTACACATTGTTAAGCACCTCAGGTGAAACTCAGCTGCCCCACTACCTGGCCCTCGCTGTAGCTGGTAATATTCAATCACATCAAAAGGTTACCTCCAAAGCCATCATCTTTTTTATATCTGCTTGTGAGACGTGGGCATTGCTGGCTGGGCCATCATTTATTGCCAGTCCCTAATTGCCCTTGAGAAGGTGGTGGTGAGCTGCCTTTTTAAATCGCTGTAGTGCGTGTGTATTACTTCTGAACATTTATTGCTGAAATTCTAAGTCGCTAACATTTTGCAAATAGTCTCCAAGGTGGTCCCTGTTGATTTTTCCACTTGTGCAATCCACAAGCCATAAAAGACATGAATTACCGAGTTCTGTGTACTCATAACACCCACATTTTCATCACTCCTGGTCCCATCAACATCCAATGGCTTACTGTGTTCTAGAATTCTTCGTCTTAACTTTCACATCCCTCCAAGATTTTGGTCCTGCCTATTTCTGCTGTTTCCTCTAGCACTATATTGTTATATAAACTTATGTGACACTTTACAAACTTATCCCATCACATTCCTTTCATCTTATCAACAGCAGTTGCATCTTTAAACTTTCTCTTTGATTTCAAAAGTTCATAGTCTTTTTTGATCTGCTTTCCTTTAAAAATTGCTCTGTACCACTTTCCATAAGGTAATCAGCATGAAAAAATTGTTGTTAATAATAGGCCTTGCATTGTTGAGCATATGCTTAGGAATTAAGAGGAAGAAAGCCTCTTTAAAGTAGTATCACATTATAAATGTCCACCAATTTTTTTTTGCTGGAATGGAAATACTCCTAGAGTCACCCCATTCTAGGCTGCATAGACAACTGTAACATCACTGGGCTCAATTCTATGGGATAGGAGATGTGAGGGGCAAAATAATCAGGAAGGTTGTGCCAAGGCTATCTACTTGCCACCATAGTATTTTGCCAGTGGCAGGGGAAGGTGGGGAACGTCCTTGCTGTCTAGAAAGTGATTGTGTCACCTACGTAGGCTCCTTCCTTCTAGAGTAGCATACACTAGGTTGTGCGGCTCACGTAGGTCCCTTTCTGGGTGGCAGTGCCCCTTTCCCTTTCCCTGTCAATCACCACCCTGCCCTTTATAAAAACTTGCCTGACACTCCGAGGCTTCTTGTTGACACAAAAAAATCTATTAGACAGCAAAGGAATATTTCACATTCATGTCCTCTTTACAAAGATCCTTACCTAGACCTTACTAGTCTTTTAATAAGACAGAATAGTGGAGCTAAGGAACGGAATTATAAAGTATTAGCATATTTGGCCAGCTCAATTTAACATCACAGGTTTGCATTTGAAGGTAAGATAAATTTAATAAGTTGGGCAGAATTTAAACAAAGTAAGACATACAAATGAAATCAAACCTAACTCTTACCAGAGTTTAAAATTTAAACTTTAGCAGAGTATGATGGCAAATGAGTGCAAAACTTATAGAGAAAAGGACAAGTTGTGTAAAAACTAGACACCAAGAATCTAAATCATTAGCTTAAATTTAAGTGATCTGAGTGATTTCAACAGCTCGATATTTAGACTTACTATACGAATGTAACGTACAAGTGAATTACCTGAAAACCCAGTTTCTGCAGAAGGCGGGCTAATCTTCGAGCACCAGTTTTTGCATCTTCTTCACTAAATGGTATTTGAAAATATTCTCTTAGCGTTATACAAAAAGATATTGTGACACATACATTACTTCATCTGAAATATAATAAAAACTATTGCACAGATTTTAAATACTACATTACAGGTGCGATTATCTCCTCCCTGGAGGCTGAGAGGGATATGTTGAGAAAGCCAAATAACAGGGTATATTGGTCCTACAGAAATACTCGCAGACCCTCTTGCCACCTCAACAATTAAGTGCTGGGCAAGAAGTTCCACTGGGGACTGTCTCAGCCTGCCATCAATTAAGGCCTTTTTAAGAGCTCAAATCATTGCTACCCAAGGCCTCAACTCACCATCAGCCCAATTACCTGCTTTTCTAGTCGGTGATAAATGAAACTTGCCAACATGGTTTGGGTTGAAAGGATCTCCATTGTCCCAATCTACTACAGGAACAAGGGAGCAAGGAGGTGGCTGCTGAAGATATACCCCCTACCCTTGCCTCTGACCCTGCTGCTCTCAAAGTAAACAACATACCTTCCTACCGTTCGAAACTCTGAAGTCTGCACCTCCAGATACAATATCTCGGAGAAAGAAGCAGACGGCTGGTTGGTTGACAGCTTCTGGTAGGGGCGGGAATTCACTATCAAGGCTCATGATTTGCAGAGAAGCCCACCAATTAGATCTTAAGTGATTGTAGCTTTAGCTGTGAGCTCTTTTATTAGTGGGGAGTCAGTCACTTCAGAAGATGATTACCCCTATAGAAATCTCGACCTAAAATTTATCTTTGGATTAGGGAGTGTTCTTAATAAAATTAAAAAAAAACATAATAGCTAGTTGACATCGTAATAGTCTACTCTGCATTATTGATTAACATAATTGAATAAAATAGAAAATCATAGAATAATAAAATCCCTACGGTGTGGAAGCAGGCCATTTGGCCCATCAGGTCTACACTGCCCCTCCAAAGAGCACCCCACCCAGATTCATCCCTCTACTCTATCCCTGTAACCCTGCATTTCCCATGGCTAATCCACCTAGCCTGCACATCTCTGGAGACTATGGGCAATTTAGCATGACCTAATCCACCTAAACTGCACATCTTTGGAGGACAAACATCTCAGTCAATTTGACCTTACTGGGGTCAAAAACAAATGATTGCTGTTTAGTATCCTAATGTACACCTTGATCAAATGTTCCTTTCTATTGGTTCATGATTCATAAAAGGCGGCCAATATACAACTTCCTACATACTTCCTCACACCACCCCTATCAAAAATGCCATATTTCCTGTGCAAGGTTGTCCACATATTGATTACTGAAATGTGATTAGAACTCCTGAATTGTGATTATACACTCCCAGAGCTTTAGCTCAGAACTCAACAGTTAGACTAAAATTTGTTTTGCAAATCCTGTTGAGCCTCTAATGTTAATGCTTTTTTACCTCCAATACATTAGTATTTATCCTTCCAAGCAGAAAATTATCACTAATTTGTTTACGATTATATACTCCACCCCTATTCATATAAACATGGATAGAATTTTTTGCACTTATTTGGAAAAGCACAGGTCAACATTCGTAAAAGTTAAGTTCGTAAGATGAAGTATGTCAACACTCTGTGTTAATAGTAGAAAAAAAACCTTTTAGAAAGAAAATGAAGTTCTTACCTCGTAGCTCCAGTGCATATAATTTTCCCTGAGGACCAGATTGTGGCTGTTATCCTAGGTTTCCTCAGTTTCATTAATACCTTCTGCAAAAATACATATGAAAATATCGCAGTGTCTTAGTCACAGAACTCCTGCTACATTCACTATGCATTTATACTTTAATTGAATTCTGAATCATGTTATATGTAAAATATGAAGAGCTGCTTAGGTAAAAGTACTCACATATAACATGCGCCTAAAGTTTGAAATGTTTACGAATGTAAAAACATATATTGTATATGCTCTATTTACAGCTATACAGCCTGTCATTTTATATTACATCAATGCAGCAACTAGCGATCATTTTCAGCACTTTGCTTTACCTTATCCATAATATGATTAGAATTTTACATACATGCTCTCTCTGTATTATTCCCTGGATGCAAGTCTAACCTAATATTGATCAAGGATCAGCTTACTACTTTATTGATTTTTTAGGCTAATACAATCAAAGTATGATTGTTAATTTATCAATACTTCACACATAAAAATCAAGTTATTATATACAAGACACTTACTATAACAGTGAAAAGTGTACATAAACTTTTAAAAAGCATTTAAGATCTCTGTTCCTGTAAAATAAAATAATGTTTCTGTGTGAGCAGGTGGATATTCGAGTCATTTGAACATTCAATAGGAACACAGGATCAGAATTACACTTTTTAGCCCCTCAATCTTATTGGTCATTCAATTCAATTAAATCACGACTAATCTGAACCCAAAACTCTCATTGCCCACTTTTAATTCATATTCCTTGGTGCCTAATAAAAAACTTTATCATGGTGTTGAAAATTTCAATTCACCCACCAATCAGAATGTTTGGGAGTGTTACAGATTCTCACTACACAATGGAAAAAGATTTTCCTGTATTTATCACATTGAACACCTTTATTATTAAATAATTCAATTAAATCACTTGCAAAACTCTAAACTCCACAGAATACGAGCCATGTATTCCATTACTTCTAGCTGTTTTTGCTCCAAGATTATACTGCTTAATCTACAATGTACCCTTGCAAAGATCCACCTGTTTCTCCAGCAACATACTGCCCAAAATGAAATGCAATTGTGCATTACGTTCTGCATCTGTGGGGATAGATGCTCTCAATTATTAGTTTAAAAGATATGCTATGAAATATAAGGGTCAATTTCCAAGATGTGCAACCATTATGCAGCCAGTCAGGGGCACATATCAAGAATCACAAGCATGCACTCCATAATTTTCTAATTTACCCTTTACTAAATTTACTCTTTCACATTGTGTTGTAGTAATACCAACTTCATATACAGGACTACATTATATTATGTTAACTCTTTTCCTTTTTAAATACCTATAGAAAATTTTACCATCTATTTGTATATTTCTGGCTAGCTTTCTCTTGCACTTTAATTTTTCTTATTCATCTTTTAGTCATTCTTTGCATACTGTGCAATTTTCTGGTATGCAATACATCTTTGCTCAATTAAATTCTTATTGTGGGTGCACCCCCTAGAATTTTTCTTTCTCATTGCAATGTATTCATTTAGTGCAATTTAAAATGCCCTTTTTATTTAATTTCAATAAGAAAATTCAACAACGTGTCCTTGACAGATCCCTGAAGTTGGCTCGACAGGTAGATAGAGGTGGCACAGAGGCATATGGGATACCTTCCTTTATTGGTGAGATATTGGGTACAAAAGGAGGAGTGTAATGCTGGAACTTTGTAAGATACTGGATAGGCCACAGCTGGAGATGTTTATGTATGTCTGGTTACACACATTACAGGAAAGACATAATTGCATTAGAGAGATTATAGAGGCGATTTAGAAGAATGTTGCCAGGGTTTTAAAGTTGCAGCTCTCATGAAAAATTTAATAGACTAGGGTTCTTTTCATTAGAACAGAGAAGGCTCAAGGGTGACTTAACTGAGATGTACAAAATTATGAGGGACTTGGATAAAGTGTATTATAAGGTTGACCTATTTCCCATCATGGAGAGGTCAATTATTAGGCCATAGTTTAAAGGTGATTTGTAGAAGCATTAAAGGAGACAAGTACCTGAGAGCAGTGAGTGTCTGGAATTCACTACCCACTTTAACTGCATGCTACTAGATAACAAGGAATTCTACATATGGCAAATTCACCCTCTTGTCTTTGTGAGAACATGTTTTCACTGCGTTCATTAAATCTCACATGTGATTGGCTCTCTCAGATTTGTCAATAATTTTCCTTCAAGTAGCTACATTCAGCCCACTTTTGCCAAATCATCTCTCAATATCCTAAGTTTGTCTTCCATAATTTGGAACTTTAGTCTCATTCTAATGTTGTCCTTTTCCACCCCTCCTGCCATTCTTATTGTGTTTCTTTATTTTGTTCAATTATTCATTTCCTTTTTCATAATTTAAGCTATAGGATAGTTTAACCAGCTTCATACGTACGTTCTGAAGAAGGGTCCAGACCAAAAATGTCAGCTTTCCTGCTCCTCTGATGCTGCCTGGCCTGCTGTGTTCATCCAGTTCTACACCTTGTTATCTCAGACTCCAGCGTCGGCAGTTCCTACTACCTCATACATACTTTGTTTTGTTGGAAGACACATTTGTCTTCACGGTTTGCAATCTATTGTTTTCCCTGAGCATGTCTTAAACTGGATATCTCTGCAATGTAGTGCACATCACTAGCTCAATCCCTTGCGCCCAGTTCCAAGATAAAATATGCATTTGTGTGGGAAACTTTGTAGTTAGCACTCGTCAACCTCAATGTTGATACTTATGTGGATTACACTCACTGAACCCTTTCATATCAAGTTCTTTCCTAATCATGAGAAACATCCTTAACCCTGGCACCAAAAAGGCATCCCTGGCAACCAAGGAAATTCTCAATGCAGGGAACTATATTTTCAACTATACTATGCCCTATTTGCTTCTCCCTTTCGAAAAGCCTCCTTCAGCAGTGCCATAATTAGTTTGCTCAAATAGCCACCCAAAGAGCATCACTTACACAAGTAGGGAGCATTTTGAACTTTTTTGGGTGAAGTCAAAGGACAAGGCTCCTCCAGCACAGGAGGTGGGTCCCCCTAACCGCTTCATTTGTAGTAACCTATCCTCAATTGTTAACCAGAAATATACCTTACCCAAGAGGTAAAAAACAGCTTCCTGAATAAAAAGTGTTCAAGAAACTCTCCTGATGCCCTGCGACCTAAAATTTCACCCCAACAATTCTAAGTTGAAATTCTTTAATATGGAAGATACCTACTGCAAATATGGCTATCCTGGATGACAACAATTTTGACAACACCCTGGAGCAGCCGTCCCTACCTAACATTTTGTTATTTAATCACTGTAGATCGAGGAAAAAGTCAATTCCATTTTTACAGACTTAAAAATCATGTTTTGGGTATACTTGCCAGAAAAATTAAACAATAACCCCACCAACTTTCAGCCATGACATGCTAGGCTTGCATTACTAGTGAATGTCAAACTTAGCCCCACAAATGCACATTGCACCTTGGAACTGGGGGCAAGAGATCAAGCTAGTGATGTGTGTTACACTGCAGAGATATTCAGGACTCCAAACACGCTCAGGGAAGACAATGGATGGCAAACAGTGAAGACCAATGTGTCTTCCAACAAAACAACGTATGTATGAAGCTGGCTAAGCTAAAAGTCATAATATTTGCTAACTTGACAGATTACAGTGGCATAAAGGAATTTAATGTTTGTGAACATCTGGTATCTCAATGGGAAGAGGAATCCACCTGACGGGGGTCAATACACCACGTGAACAGGAATCAGCCACTGCCCTAATCATGAGAAGCAGATATCAGAATGGGTCCACAAAAACTGAGTGGTATAATCATTATCAGAAATGCAACATGTGTATATATATTTAAGTAGGTCAAATCAAATCCCAAGCCCATCAAACATTTCAGAGCAACAGGTAGTTCGTGTGGCTGCTTAACAGAACAAAAAATGTCAAATGTCGCGGTTGAAAGCCAAGATTACTCAGAGATTACTAAAATATCTGTGCCAAAATTACCAGTTACCAAAAGTTCATCATCAGAGTGACAAATCATGAGCAGCCATGATACATTAGCAACATGAAGTAGTCATGAATTTCAATATGCCCAGTAATTGAACTGTGGAATGGGAACATTTGATAATAGTTCTAGCAATAACCAAACCACGTAAGAAAAGATGGAATGAGGTTATGGATCAATGATGTGTGGAACGTGTATCCTGGCGGCCAATATAAAACATGCAGTGTATTAGTCTGGCGCACATTCAGATACCATGTAATTGACGAAATGAAGAGGTGCCTATGAAGCAAATATACACTCATTGCAGTAATTCCTGGGGGTCCAACAGCTGTGATTCAACCTTTGGATGTGTGCCTCAACAAAATAATCAAGGATCATGTTCACACTAAATGAAATTGGCAGATGGTTGTTACAGAAAAACCTTCACAAGAAGTGGAAATATGCACACTATTGTTTTGTGTAGTTTTGTCCTTATATTGTGGGATGCTGTTTTTCTACAAAATGCAAAGATATCATTCGGAGATGTGCAATTTTCAATGGATGGAGAGAAGAATGACTTGTTGTGGAAGGATAGTGCCAAAATCTGATCCAGACTGCAATCTCTCTGATGATGCCATAGCTAAGGTGACTCAAGTGAATCTGATGACCTCTCTACACCAGATACCAAAGACAAAGAATTTGACAAGTTTAAAAATGTTTGCATTATAGCTAAAGGAATTTTTCTACAATGAATTTATTCAATAAACTGTGCAACATTAACTTATGAACTTTTTCTCCATTTTAAAATGGTAACCTAATGGAAATAAGCACTCCGAAATTTATAGTAACCATCTGCTTTGTCACAAAGTTTAAATTTGCCTATATCCACTTATCTCCTTTTAAAACAAAGTACTGATACTCACATTTATCAAAATCATACAGTGTACATTAAGTAAGATAAGTGTTAAAAAGATATGCCTTTACTAAAACTGAAGGTCAGTGAGCCACTTTGAAATTTCCATATTAAACATGTTAACTAAATACAACAGAAATTATTAACCTACCGCTTATTGAATAATTTAGCAATCACAACTGTCCACCATAGATCGCAACAGAGTTTACTGCAAATAATGTAACAATGCAGAAGCGATGACATGAACAGATGAACTTACTCCAACATCTCTTTTGTAGATCACATTCGTTCCTTCCAGTGCAATCTTCCGGAGATTTAAATGGCATCTTGTTTTAAAGACACAGACTACGTTTGTTATCAAAATATCCAGTGCAATATCATTGTCGGGTTCCATGGGTATGGCTTGTTATCCAACTGACCAACAGGCAGCATACCATCTAGATAGTGCTATACTAGATTAGAAGAACAAAATGTTAACTTGATATGTGGTGCTCTCTTTACAACAATAAATCTACTGTTATTCAGTATCTGGAGTACCTTATTAAAATTGCATCCATGAAACAAGTCAAAGAAATTTACATGTTACTACAAGTATGATACTGCAGAGGAGTACAGTACTGTACAGACTCAAAATTTTTTGGTTATGCTCTTGACAATCAGGAATCTAAAAGTACTTGCCATAGTCAGCTGGACAGCCAATTCTAGAGTATCGGTAAAGGCAGATATAAACAAAGTCTAGCAGAAAGGACACCAGTGAACCTACAAGTGAAATAAAAATGGTATCTCAGTTTTAATATCAACTTGTTTTATAGCTTAACGCTCTAGAAATTGCTGTATGTAATGTAATAATAACCACAAAAAAGAAACGGGCATTCACAAAAACCCAATATAATCACAAAATAACTGCAGTTGAAGTTCTGTTCCTGAACTTTAAAAGCCAAACTTGGGAACATTGTTAAAAAGAAAGTGAGTTAGATATAATGTTTATATGACAGATTGATAGCTAAGCTTGTTCTTTGTTCATGTTCAATATCATAACTTTACTAGGAAGAATTTGCTGACAATTGAGCCCATTATTCCATACCACAAGCCATCACAAAATGGACAAATGTATAAAATCCAACTGAGACAACTAAAACAGCCAATTTACCTACCTCACTGTTACTCAAAATAAAAGCAATCCACACCAGGTTTCTCAGCCACAGGAAAAAACAACTATTTATTGCAACACATATCTTTTAACATGAGCAGTGAAAAGATTTATATTGATGCACATTAGCCATAACCCTTCAAAAAAAAAAATTATATACACAATCACAATTAAAATAGACAAAAAAAAATGATTTTACACATATGCTACAGGTGGAAAAAAGAATATGTACAAAATTTCAAAGATCAAAAGTCCAAACCAAAAGATGGAAAGTTATTTCCACTCAATTCTTTTGATTTTTGCAATTATGAATTGTATCCAAGTAACAGAATACCTCAGATGCAAAATGCTAAAAAATGTTCCGAGCCAACCAATCCTGGAGTGGATGTCGCTGAAAGCTGTGGGAGAAAGGGGCTGTTAGTTGATGCCGTGCATGTTGGAAATGTGCTCCAAAGAATTTATTTTGAATATTCATTGTGAAGAATTTATAGTCCTAAATGTGGTGGTTACAGGATTGCTCAGCAGACTGTGAGTCCTGTTGAGAAACATTTTGAAGTGCATTTAGAAGGACTCTGTCTGTAAGGTGATGGTTGTTCTTCAGCTTGATGTGTGACAGGTGGACCATAAATCTTCACTTGTTAGAATTCTTAAGCTAATTTGATTTTCTCACATGGAGAGAGAAAAAGAGTGAAGGGGGAGCAGCAGGAGGAGAAATGGATGGTTTCTATCTGCAGGCTCTGGAAGTTTCTTTCCTCTGATGCTCCTGGCACGTACAACTTTTAACAGGCTGCAGTTCAGTTGGAAGGTTGTTGTCAGGTAGAACCTTTAACTTGAAAGGCTCTCGGTGCTGCTCAGTCTCAAATTCTTTAGCTTACTGCTTTAAAAAGCACAGCTCAACAATATGCAACGAATGCTTAGTTTTCAAGTTGCAAAACTCACCTGCTTTCTTGGTTACAGCATTCCAACTTCTATTCCAGTTCATAGCTCCAAAAAAAAAGTCTAACACGTAAATATAGATGAAAGTGAAACAGGAAAAATATTTATAATTAATAGCAAATTGCTGTTTTCAATGTTCACATATCAAAGAGTATATTTTTGTCAATGTTAGTTTTCTTTAAGCCTCAAAAATACAGTTCAATATTTCTTTTATTCATAAATGGGATGTGGACATCGCTGGTTTGCCCAGCGTTTATTACCGATTTCTAATTGCCCTTAAGAATGTGCTGGTAAGCTGCCTTCTTGAACAAATGCAGTTCGTTTTGTGCAGGTACACCCACAATGCTATTAAGGAGAGAATTCCAGGATTTTGATCCAACAACACTGAAGGAACAGCAATATATTTCCATACCAGGAATGGTTTGCAGGGAAATTGACTGGGCAAATCTATTGCCCATGCCCTTCTAGCTGGAGTTATACCTGACATTGGAAGGTGCTGCTTAAGGTGCATTTGTGAATTTCTGCAGTGCATTTTGTAGATGGTACTCACTGCTGCTATTTTCTGAGCATCAGTGGTGGACGGATTTCATGTTTATGGATGTGCTGACAATCAGGTGTGCTGCATCGTCCTGGAATTTGTCAAGCTTCTCAAATATTGTGGAGCTGTACTCATCCGGGCAAGAGGGGAGGATTCCATCACACTCTTGTTGTGTACCTTGTAAGCGGTTGGTAGACTTTGAGGAGTTATAATGTGAGGTACTTGCTGAAGAATTCCTAGCCTCTGACCTGCAATTGTAGCCACAGTATCTATATGCCTAGTCCAGTTGATATTTTGATCAACATTAACCCCCAGCATGTTTACAGTGAGAGATTAATTGATGGAAACACCAAGGGATGATGGGTAGATTGTCTCTGATTGGAGATGGTCATTGCCTGGCACTTGTGTGGTAGGAAGGCTAATTGCCACTTGTCAGTCCAAGCCTGGAGACTGTCTAGGTCTTGCTGCATTTAAATAATGTATTGCTTCAGTATCTAAGAAGCTGTGAATGGTGCTGAACACAATTGGTTGATGACTGCACATCACCACTTCTGACATTAGTATCAAGGGAAGGTCACTTATGAAGCAGCTAAAGATAGTTGGGCCTAGGACACTACCCTGAGGAACTCCTGTTGAGATATCCTGGAGCTGAGATAACTAGCCTTCAAAACCACAACCATCTTCTTTTGTGCCAGGTATGACTCTAACCAGAGAGATTTTGCCTGTTACCATGGACTCCAGTTTTGCTGGGATTCCTTGATGTTTCACTGTCAAACATGGCCACGATGCCACAGTCAGTCACTCTCACCTCTCAACTGGAGTTGAGCTCTTTCATCTATCTTCAAACCTAGATTGTAATCAAATCAGGAACTGAAGTGGCCTCTGGTGTAACACAAACCTATCAGATTATTGCTAAGCAAATGCTACTTGATAACACCATTAATTACCCCTTCTATCATCTTACTGATGAGATCTTGACTGTCCAGGTTAGATTTGTATTGCTGTTAGCATGTCCAAGACATAACTGGGAAATTTTCCACACTGTCAGACATTGTGTAGTAGCTGTTCTGGCACAGCTTGGATAGAGGCGCTGCAAGTTCTGGAGCACAAGTATTCAGGGCTATTGCTGGAATGTTGTCAGAGCCCATTGCCTTGTCATTTCTCAATGTCCCACAGAGTGAATCAAATTGGCTGAAGAATAGTATCTGTCATCCTGAGGACAACTGGAAGAAGGTGAGGCAGATCATCCACTAGGCACTTTTGGTCGATAATTATTGCAAATGCTTCAGCCATACACACACCCATCATTGGGGATGATGGGGTTATTTGTTGAGACTCCTCTAGGTAGTTATTCAGTTCTTCACCATTCATGACTGGATGCAACAGGACTGCAGAGCTCAGAATCCCTGTCTCCACCTGTAACAGCTCCACATCTATCCCAGCTAATCTTTTGCTCTTCACATACTTCAAAAGCTTTTATTGTGTGTCTCTATGTTTCCTGCATGCTTGCATTCATATTTTCTTTTCCTCTTTCTTTTACCAGTTTCTTCGTGATACCTCTACTATGTTCTAATTGCTTGCAATCCTCAGGCTTACCACCTGGCATCCTTATAAGTCTCTTTCTTTGATCTCATGCATCCTTAATATCTTTTATTAGCCGTGGTTTACTCACCTTTCCCATTACTGTTTTTTCCTCAGAGGACTGTACATTGTATAAATCATGTAATACTTTAAATATTAGCTATTGCCTGCCTATGGTCAAATCTTTCTGTATATTTTCCCAATTCACGATAGGCAATGTGTCCTTCATATCTTTACAGTTTCCTTTGCTCAGACTTAAGATCTAAGTTTCAAAATGACTAATGTCCCATTCAAATTTAATGTATCATTCTACTGTATTATAGTCACAAAGGCCTAAAGTGCCTCTACAGCAAGGTTCAGCTCAGGTTGATATTTGTCTCAATTGGCATATACACTTCCCATAAATTCCAATGGTTGCAGAGCTAGAGGTAAATTTTCTCAAATGTACAGTGGTGGAATTAGAATTGGGCCACTCTAGCAAAAAAATGGACACAGACTTCAGGAGTCAAATGGGCTCAAAAAGAAAATCTGCTTCATTCTTTGCCACTAAGCAGTCCAAACTTCAATTATCCAGTTATTGCAGTGTGATAAAACAGAAATAAAGTTAATTGCTTTAAGCAAAACATCAGCACTTGCACCTGCTGAAATTCTAGACTCTAAAGTCCTACCAACCTTAGGGCTGCTTTCTCATTCAAAATAGAGTCCTTCATGGTAACTTCAGCCAGTGTGGGAACTGAACCCATGCTGTCTGCATCACAAACTGTGTGCTGAAGTAAAAGCAATGTGGTGTCACGTATTGGCCAGACTATGTAAAGAGGGCAGATTACATTCCGTGATGAATATTAGTAAACCAAATGGTTATATTTTTATTTACAACAATTCAGTAGTTTGACATCCAGTTATGGGCTCTGGTGATGCAGTGGTAGTGGTCCTACTGCTGAGCCAGGAGGGAGGGCTCAAATTCCACTTGCTGCAGAGATGTGTAATAGCATCTCTGAACAGGTTGATTAGAAGATACCTAATTTCATGGCCACCAGTGCTACCACACAACAATTTTTATTCCAGATTCATTTAATTTAAAACAAAAACTTAAATTCCCAACTATCATTGTTAAATGTGAACTTATATATTTTTAATTTGTTCTTGTGATATAGCAATACTCACTAGACCAGCATTTACTAACGATCCCTAATTGTCCCAAAATTGAGCAGCTTGCTTGGCTATTTCAAAAGGCAGTTAACAGTCAACTATGTCAATCTGTGTTGGTGCCACTTGCAAGCCAGACAAAGATGACCTTCCCTAAATAGTATTAGTGAATTGGATGGGTTTTTATGACAATTGACAGTGTTCATATGCTTACGTTAGACTAGTTTTTAATTCCAGATTTTATTGGGTTCAAATTTTTAACATTTGCCATGGTGGAATTCAAGTCCATGTTCTAAGAACAATAGCCTAAAATTCTAGATTTAACTAATACAGTAACATAACTATTCCAGTCTCTCAGAAATCTGGTTGCTGCCTAACTACTGTCTGGAATGGATGAGCAAACTGCAT